CTTGCGGTTAGTGAAATCCATGACAGTTTACATTATTTTGACTGTTTGGAGGTGTCTTTAGGTTGATCATGGTATGAATGTCGCCGGTGTTCGCCCAAATCAGTACTAAGGTATTAATTACCTTTATGGGATCTACAAAATGTCATAACACAATATGCTCATACGCAGGACAAGCTGTGATTGGCTCTTACTTGTCACGTGACGTAATTGTGACGTCCGTGAAAACGCGCAACACGCAATATGTAGGCCATCCAACAATAACTATATACTTATTCCAGGCACGGCTTATGTTCTCCATAATATACAATTAAACTTAATTAGATACAGTCTCGACAACAGCCATGTATAATAAATGAACTGCGTATAATATATAAAAGATTCAACAAATCAGGCAAACTAAGGAGACATTCAGGATATTTTTCAGGTTAGGTTGCCATAGTGTTTTATTGAATATGTCACCGCTCGTCTTGTGCAGCATGTTTTGAACTCACCTATGGTGATTTGTGTCGCTGGTGGGCATATAGTTGTGTATAAGAGTTAGAAGTAATTTGAGGGATAATTAACTAGTTTCAAAATAGTCATTTGTATGGAAAGATAATTGAAATGCAAATAATTGCAAATCAGGCATTAAATAAACGTGACGAGTTAAACCTAAATTATATGAAGGGAAATACATAAGTTAAATCATTTATTTGTCTTTTCTTTCACAGACGACCCTGAAGAGAGAAATAATTTAGCTAAAGATTATCCAATGAAAGTTGAAGAATTAAGATTAAGATTAAAGGAATACGAGAAAGGGTTAATGCCATCTATCAATCCACCACCAGATTTAAAAAGAAGTAATCCGGCCAACTTCGGTGGTGTATGGTCACCTGGGTGGTGTTGAGTATGTTTACTTTTCAAACGGTGTTTGAAAATAGTAGTTTTGTTATGCAAATAATAACATAAACTATTTTAAAATGTCATGTAAAGTATTGCTTGAATAAATGCCACTACATGGTCAGCTATATGGTGATTTCTCATTTGTGAAGAGCGCCCCCATAGGCTTCTTATTATCGTATTAATCGACATGCGGTTGTTGATGTGATTGAATGTCGCCCTCTTAGAGGAAATGATGTGATATTATGCAATAATGTACAATACTACAGCAAATGTAACAATTGGGGGTATTTGGGATTTAAATTACATGAGGTAGCTGTATAATTTGTACAAATATAATGTTTTATTGCGATAACAAGTTTATTTCCATTTCAGTAGCTGTCAAATAGACGTAGACACCAGCTAATATCTATCATATTGTAAATTTCACGTGTGCACACTTTTGTGTTGTAATTGCCGGGGAGACAAATGCGTGACTAACTATGTATAATAATGTGTTTTACTCTTCCCCATGCAGTAGTTTAGAAAAGTTCGCCGTGACGTAATATCCGTTTGATTACCAGTGTGATTTGAGGTTATTCATAGCGGGCGCTATATCGATTCTTGTTTTTAAAGTTTAAAACTGTGATCATGCGAATTTTTATTTGAAATTGACATCCGAAAATATTCCAAAATAGTAAAAACAAAAACGTCACTAAATATATATATACTAGCATAACTTAGAGAAAAATTAACAGTTTCTGGGAAACACAACGATAATTCGCTGTTCCATGTATAATCTACTTATTATGCTCAAGTAATGGTCGAGGCAACTATGCGTTGCCACAAAAACCTTGTCACCTCAACGTTTATTATGAAAAACAGTATATTGACCTCCAAATGTTTACGCTATTTTTCCTTATATTGATTTTTTTTTATTATTTAAATTAGAAAACAAAACAAGAGTATTTTTTTAATAGGCCATGAACCCTGCATAAATGTAACAGATGGA